AGAGCTAGATCAGAAAGAGGAGCAATTGGAAGTGACGTACACGGCGGGACGCGACCTCGAACCAGGCAAGCTAGAGCAGGTTTTGGCGGCATTGAAGGGCTGGTACGTCAGCATGTTATTGCCGTCGTTTTCTTTTGCTTGATTTTTTGGGCAGGGCCAATACAACCTCCGCTGTCCTCACGACGCTTGATGCAAAGATCAACTCAATAGCCGCGGACACTGCTGCGCAGAAGCTCAACCAACAAGAACACGAGCGGATACTGCAGGCACACCTGAAGGAAGTCTTCGAGAAACAAAAAGAGAAGAGCATGGGTGGCGGCATGGCAAGCAGGCGGGCGGCTTTCCAGATGGGCGATCGGGAGAACATGATGGACGTGGACGAGCCAGATAACAAAGGCAAAAACCGAAAGTGCGTCGCCCTGGCAGATGTAGTTTGCCGAACTGACAGGTACGCAGAGCGTCATCAGAGGCGGCTCCGAAGCCGTCGCGAAAGCGAAACAAGTTCTAAGCCGTCACGTCGCATTGCTTTCTTGCCTCCCTCGGTCAATTTGTACATTAATTTTGTATCATTTTCCCTTGTTGTAAATGCGATTCGCCATTCTGCTCATCTATTCCAAGCCTGCTGTCCTCGGACCGCAGCATCATCGACATCGACACCGTCGACACCGTGTCAAAGGACCCAGGCCGGTGAGCCCCGCTATTCATCCAAAGAGTTCCACTCACCAAATGAATGAGATCTACATCACGTCAGACTGATGCTCCAAGGGGCCTGGCGCAGGAAGCGTGGCTTACACATTGCAATGCGGCAGTGCTTCGACGGGTGTTATGAACGATATCGTATTATCGGTGTTCTAATATTAATACCTAGCACCAATACCGCGCCCGAGGCCCCTTATCCTTCCACACCTTCTAGCGACCGTGTACCAGCTTCTGCGGCTCGCCCTTCTCGCCGCCCTCTGAGCTTCAGGTCCTCCCACCATGTCAGAAGTCATCGAAGTCGTCGCGATCAACCCACCGCCAATCGAACCTCAGCCACTTGCATCACAGTCCTCCGAGCCTGCGCCAGGACCCTCCTCCGATGCCCAACCCCGTCCGCAGTCACCCCAACGAACGGCCAAGACCTACGCCACGACAGCAGAGGCCATCGCCAACTTCAAGCCTACCTCACAGCAAGTCATTAGTGGGATCGCTCCGCACGTGTTTGACGAACGCCGCCGCCGGCGGAGTCAGCGGCGCGCGTCTTATCCACGCTGGTATGGTACGAACGCGAATACTGGGAAGCGACCTTCGCCACTACGTGGGGCGATGGTCATCTCGTGGGACGAGCATTCTATCTACCTAGGTGCGTAATCCTCCTCCATGGTGACTCGCATTCACTGCCATTTGTGTCATTCGGACTAACCTGTGCTTGGACTTGCGTTATAATTGGCAGAGCAATCAGACCCACAGCGCTGTTCCACGACCTCCACTGTATCGCCAGAAGAGACCACCAAGTCGGAGGCGCTTGGCCCCGACCAACACGCCGCTGAGCAAACCGACGCGGGGATCAACTCGCATAGTCCATCCGTCAAGATAAGCAAGTCGGGAAGGC